CCACTTATTTTTCTACTCTGGTTAGAGCCTGTTTCAGATGAAAGTTCTCTTTTTCCATTTTGACGGTTTGACCCCACAAATGTGATGCTCCAGAAACTCAATCTGCTCAAAGGAAGGTCAGTTTTCTAGCTTCTGTAACGAGCTAAACTGTTTTCAGATGTGTGAACATGATTGCACAAGGGTTTTCTAATTATCAATTAGCCTTCTGAGCCAATGAGCAAACACATTGTACCATTAGAACATTGGAGTGATAGTTGCTGGAAATGAGCCTCAATATCTACACCTTTGTAGAAACCAGACATTTACAGCTAGAATAGTCATTTACCACATTAATAATGTATAGAGTGTATTTTTTTTTAAAGTTAAGACTAGTTTAAAGTTATCGTCATTGAAAAGTACAGTGCTTTTCCTTCAAAATTAAGGACATTTCAATGTGACCCCAAACTTTTGAACGGTAGTGTATATACATCATACACATACACACACACATATATATATATCCAAAAACGCTGAGCAGTTAAAAAAAAAGTGCCAAGCACAAACCTTTTGGCAGGCCGAGTTGCTGCAGTTCACTGGACAGAGATTCACTATCGACATCATGTTTTGAAGCGCTGGACAAAATAAAGTTGAGAACTGCTATGCTGGCTTTAATGTCTCCACTCTCTGAAGGACACATAATTAAAAGAAAAAGAGTAATTTGGCAAGAAAAACAAGAGGCTACAACACTCACAAACCACTGCTCAATTTTCACAGGAATAAAAAACACTATACCGGTTTAAAAAAAGGGCCTGTTTTATTCAAATGTAACTGATGGTTACCCTTGTTTTGACAGAAACCAAGAAAAAGGATACATAATAAAACCAAAATGTTTCAAATCATACAATTAAATATGTTACTATATACATTGTGGAAACAACATAATTTTTTTATTATAAATTAAAATCCTTTGTCCTTAGAACTAAAGCTTTTTCACCTTACAGAAGATTTTTTTTTCCCTCTTGTTTTTAAATTTTTTGGTAAGTTCATCATGTGTTTAAGTGATGTCTTCATGGCACGAAAAGTGCTCTGTGTTGGCTTAAAGGGGAACGCTGTTTTTTTTACCTTGATTTTATGTTCTACATCATGTTCTACTCACCCATATGAGTTTTGTGTCATTTGGAGCCGTTCTGAAGATATTCCGTTAGGTTATATCCAAGTAATGTCTTCCTATGAGCAAACGTCTTGAAGGCACAAACTAAACTGTTCATAATTTATTCTTTATGGTACACCAGCATTCATTACATGTAGGCAAATCACTGTCCCCAAGACATCCGCGGTTATATTTTTTATATTTATATGTTTTATAAACAATGCGGCGCATGTATGAAGTCATCCGCGTGCCGGACTGGAGTCGTAACAGGCAGCCTGGGCCACAGGCGGCTACGCTCTACCCCTTCTATTCATTCGGCTAGCTGATCTGAATCGTTCAATTCCATTTCGAGGGCGAGATCATCTGTGGTAGTAGCACTAGACATCTTCCAGGTATGTGAGTAAAACTAGCAGCAGTTCAGCGAACAGGAGGAATGAATGGCAGCCGGCGCACGCGGATGATGTCATACACGTGCTGCTTCATTTTTAAAAGATATAAATATAAAAAAATATATAACCGCAGATGTCTACGGAGCCCCTCTGATGACATGGTCAAAAAAAAATTTGAATTGTGGCCACGAAGTAGTATTTCGTGAGCACGAAATACTATTTCGTGGCCACAATTAAAAAAATTTTTTTTGACCATGTCATCAGAGGGGCTCCGTAGGGGGACAGTGATTCGCCTACATGTTATGAATGCTGGTGTACCATAAAGAATAAATTATGAACAGTTTAGTTTGTGCCTTCAAGTCGTTGCTCATAGGAAGACGTTACATGGATATAACCTAACGGAATATCTTCAGAACGTCTCCAACTGACACAAAACTAATATGGGTGAGTAGAACATGATGTAATAGTGTAAAATCAAGGGCCCAATGTAAAAAAAAAAAAAACGGTGTTCCCCTTTAAATGTTTATGAACAAAGATCCATATTAGAAATTACAGACTGAATAGGAAAATATAACTTACACCTACTTAATGCAAGCTATTTTCTCCAAATCAATCACAAGATAACTGGTCTTCTAGAACAAAATCATTCTTGAGAAGCACCATAAAGTGAGAGAAAATCTGCATCCTGAAAGGAAAACATTTCATATCACAGCAGCAAGAAGATTAAGCATGAGAAGAAACTTACCAAACTTTGCATCTGCAGTCAGTTTTGTTACTTTTTCATACTACATCAAAAAAGACAATAAGAAGAAAAAGTGAGTCTAAGGTAAAGGGGATGTTTTGATAAGTTTGGGGGAAAAAAATGTGTTGAAGAACTTACATCTATACCCTCACCCAGTAAATCCTTCAGCACTTGAGCACAAAGGAGTTTCATCTTCACACTCGACTGTACAGAAAAGTAGAAGCAAACAAGCATTCCAAATTAAATCTAAAGACTAATGTGTTTTACTATTATTAGCATGAAATGAAGCAGCCAACTTACTATCTTTGCTAATGTACTGATTTCGGCCAGCACCCAATCGGGGCAATCCAAATCCCCACAGAACCGGAACCGCTAAAGGACATAAAGAAACCAAAGAGTTTACAAAATAAACGAACTTTACGAACAAAGACATTTGCAGTATTTCCATTCTTAACTTATTAGCTTTGGCTGCTAGCTACATGAAAGCGGTTCTTTAACGGTGACTCTGCTTAGTTTGATTGGCGTTTAAGTCACATCAACGCAGGGAAACAAATTTACCTCATATTTTCATCTCATCTGACAAAATATAAATAGAATACATGTTTAAAAACAGCATAAAGTCATGAGCAGACTTACCATGGTTGTTAGTGGGAGACCCGGAAGTTAGAAATCTTTCCTCGTCTCTGATTGGTCAAAAGGGTGACGTTTCAGTCTAAACTTGTGACAGACGTGCTGGTTGCTCCCGGTCCTGCCCCGCCCACTTTATGAGGCTAAACTGGCAAAGATAGTTTATTAGGAAAGGAATAGTTTAATTTGGGCAAAGGTGTGCTTACTAACAATGGACCAGCGGTGGAAATTTAAGGCCCAGGGCGAAGGCAGGCATGGGGCCCTCTGAAATGAGAAGACAGCACACAAAACAGTATAATTACACAGATGAAGACCTTTTTTTAAACATTTGTTTTTCTGTCTCATTTTCACGTTTTCTTTCTCTATTTTTACTTTTTGCCCTTTGCATCATCTTCCTCTCCTCATTTTAATTCTGCTTTCCTTTCTCTTGCTGTCTTTTTCTCAGAGGTTTTATTTCCTTATCTTTCTTTCTTGTCTTTTTTCTTCTACACTCTGTTTTAGAGGTGTCAAGTAACAAACTACAAATACTTCGTTGGGTATTTATACTTCATTGGAGTAAATATTTTTTAGACTACTTCTTAAATTTTTTTGTAATTATTTCTACTTTTTACTCATTACATTTTAAATATAGACTTATTAGCTTTGTTTAATTTAAGCTCAGTTTTGTTATTGCCTGTTGGTTAAAAAAAGAATTATAATAATTTGTTTTTTCCTGACAATTAATTTCACTAAATACCTAAATAAAAGTTTTTCAACATGATTCAAAGTTAAATTTGACACTATTACCATTTGTTATAAAACTAAGAAAATTAAGTATAAGTAAGTTAGCATCCAGAATTGTAGAAAAATATCCCTTTAATAAGGTAGAGCAATAAAGCATCTGTCCTTAACATTTTTTACTGCATTACTTTTATTTTTATACTTTAAGTAGTTCGTGCTTTTAAACTTTTACTTGAATAAGAATCTTAAATTGTTTTTCTGACTTATGCAAAAATAATTCTACTTGAGTAATGAAAATTAATACTTTTGACACTTCTAAGCCCAACCCTGCCCAACAGGTTTTGGTGTCATTGCCGTGCCTGCTGCTGGTTCTACGCTGCTGCTGCTTATGCTGGCCACTGATGCAGTGAAGAAACTAGTCACTTTTGTTAACTTTGACAGCAGCTTTCTGCTTTTGCTCCTTTTTGTTTTTCTCTTTTTAACACTACTGGGCTAGCTTCGTCTCTTCTTTTTTCTCCTCCCGTCTCATGTCTTTGCACTGTATGTTTTCATTTGTTTTGCTTCTGTATTCCTAAAACAATACACATAAGGCAACAAGCATTCTGATTGCATTTTAACAAAAGAATATGTGTGCAAATAAGAACTAGACAACCATAGAGTTTTACCGAATGGTAACTCTTCCCCTACATCCAAGTTCATTTTGTCATTTTTACTTTTTCTGGCTGAGCAGTCACAATGTGATTTTCTCATTTAAACACATCCAAGAGCTGGTGATATAGGAAGGCATTAAAGGACAGTGAACCCCCTGTTTCATTCAAGAGAAAATGTTGAAATGACTAACAATGCATAGAAGTCTAAATAAGTCAAACTGCTGCCGTGTTGTGCTAACAATGGCCTGATTAGGTGGACCTATTAAAGTAGCCTGTGAATATATAGAAAGTTTGAATCTCTTGAGAAATCCCTTGAACTCCTAGCTGCAGGATGTGAGCTTTTAATGAAATTAATGGCAACATAATCCATCTCCTCCCTCTAATTTTGTCAGAGTTGCAGTGGGACTGGTGTCCCAGCCTGTCGCAGAGCAGTGTGGGGGTAAAGCGTCTTGCTCAGAGACCCAGATTGCAGGCTGTGGGGATCGAACCGGGTATTTGCAATCTTCTCAGAGCACCACTGGTCCAACAATTCCACAAATACTTGAGAATTCTATTTTCTACTTTTACTGAATCCAATATAGTTGCCAACTAAAGGCCCCTGTGTGGTTGTCCAGTAATACAGGACTTGGTTCTACTTTGTCAGTAGATTTTAATCTTAAAGCTCTCTCATATACTGTCTGGACTGTATAAACAAATTAACAAAGATAGTGCAAATTTCAAAGCAAGGCTTGCAGATAAGGAAAGCCTAAGGCCAAAGCTTTGCACAGGAAGGCCACCATTACCCCAGACAGCCTACGTATACTGTATAAATGCTGAAATATGGTTTCTAACAACTAATTAGCAGCATGAATCAGGCTGTGAACTCCTCTGGAGGTAAAAGATGCTGTTTACTGTACCACAAACTCCTGGTTAGGAACTAAACATTAAAGTTGTTTAGATCGGATGATTATGAAGTACAGGGAACATCAGGGATCTATAATTTGAAACAGAGTTTACAGACATTATTTAATGTTTACTTTGAAAATTTTTCAGCACCACTTCTCCTTACTTGATTCTGTCACCGTGGTAGTTAAATTGTCATGAAGGAAAAAGAGCTAAGACAAAAGATGAATTTCCTTATTTTCTTGTCAGTCGAGTTAGATCCTCGACTGATGCTAAGAATAGACTCCAACCAAACTAATCTCCCTTCTTAAGGCTTCCTGGACTCTGCATCAGGGTCAGGTTAAGCAGCTTTGTCGTTAAGAAGGAGCTTTGAGCAGAGCTGTGGCCCTCCTCTTCATCAAAACAGCTCAATTGATGTACTTGAATTATCTAACTTGTGTGCTTTCTTAGAGTTTCCCTTTAGACATGTTTTTATTAAATGCAGTTGATAAATAATTTTTAATTAACCCAGGAGAACTGTCATCTTAATGCACACTTAAGATCAGGACAGATTTAGCAAAGAAATCAGACAAAGAAAGATAGATCTACATAGAAATGCAATTCTATCTATGTAGATCAAAGTTTTGGCTCTGTGCTTCTCTATTGGATAAAAAGATCTATATCCCATAGATACATTTATCTGTGGGGTAAAAAAATTTAAAGTGCTCCTTCAATAGACTCTTTAAAAGTACATCTTGCATTTCATCTTTCCTGTACAAAGCTATTGGAGGACATATTGTTCTTGGTTTTGAGCACTTGGTGACTTTGAACCAATATTTTTTGGGGAAAAGGTTTCTCTTGTTCGGTTAAATCAACTGTCAGCTTTGTTAAAGTCAGCAAGTGCTCATAAATGTACCTTTGCAACCATCCCATGAAATTACTTTCATTATGTCAGAATGGAATATTTACATGTCATTTGATATTTTGAAAGGCATGCAGACTTTGATAAATTGGCAAACTCAACTTTAGTATTTTCCCTTCAAGTTCTTTGAAAAGTAAAAATGTTAAAGTTGATTAGGCTGCAGTGGAACTTGATATCCTTACCCACCCCTCACCCTTCCAAAAACAACACAGGAAATATGAACATATTTCTTATCCAGTATAAACTACTTCAGGTGTTTCAATACCTTTGACTCAACAGAAAAAAATTTTTTAGGAGCTCCAACCAACTAAATGTTACTGATACAAACCAACCTTTGTGCAACTGTAGAAAAGCCTTCACAGCAGTACATTTAAGTGGTCTAAAGGAATAATATTTAAACAGGTGCTTTAAAAGTTTCACAGTGGTCAGCAGCAAAGCCTGTGACGTGGTCAGCAGCAAAGCAGAGTACCGCTTCTTGCAGTAGACAAGTTTTTTAACTTGTGAAAGCTGACAGAAGGATAAGAACAGAAGTTTTTTTTATGTTCTCTAATAAAAAAAAGAATAACGGATGTTAATGAATCATTGCTTCCAAAATAAAAATGAGTAGAGAATTGTGCACATGAGGCTTATGAGGCATTATCTGTCTAGACCGGAGATCTTCAACAGGGGGGTCCGCAACCCCTGGGGGGTCAATGGAGGTACTGCATGGGAGTCGCGAAAGTTTTGGTTGATTAGACTTTTTTTTTATATTCCCCCCTGCCATTTTTTCCACTAATTGAAATGTCTTTAAAGACACAATAACATGAATTCAACACACTGTAGTAAACAGATAAAGGAGGCAGAAGAGGTCTTTCTGTCATCAATGCACACATTCATCGACACGCAGGAGCTCTTTAATGCTGGGTACCACATTTCATTCACAACACCTGTCCCATCAACAAGGAATCCAAATCAGAATCAGAAATATTTTAATAATCCCAGGGCGAAATTACTTTCGTTACATTACTCCATCTGTAATAGAGTGACTATGTTGATATAACATAATTTCTAACAATATATATAATTAGGGGGTCCCCGCTCCATCTTGCCATCAATGGGGGTCCTTGGCCTGGAAATCACTGAAGATCCCTGGTCTAGACCAAACAAAATAAAACACCTATTCATGAAATTACATTTTTTTTTTCAGAGAACATTTAATTTCTATTTTTCTTCTTCTTAGAGTGTATCGTTCTGGAAGTTCAAAATGTTTATGTTAAACCATATTTTTTATTTAGTGATAACCTTTTAGTGATAAACTTTTTACCATCCACATTTTATTATCTTTTTACCTTTTTGCTTTCTTAAACATTATAGCGTCACTAAATAAAGTAACTAAAGTGTATGTTTTTTGTTTCTTCCCTTTTTTTTACTTCCAGGAAAATATGCATGGCAAGCATTAATATAAATACTCTGGTTCTCTATTTGAACTTTAAAAACGGAGTACAGCAAAAGACACCATGCTCAGTTCTTATTTTTAATCCAGTCAATTGCTGGTAATAATAGTTGCTGAGGAACTTAGGGTTGGTTATTTTAGAGGACAAAAACACCCACAAGTAAAAAAAACAGCAACATAAGTACTAATGATACAAACATTTGAACGGTTAAAAACCATCTTCAAATCCACATATGCAACCTGCTTCTTTCCTTAGTCTCTTTAAAGTATGCACACATTTTTGTTCTATCAATGTAAAATGAGACTTAAAAAAGATGTTAAAATCTAATTATTTCAGTCCAGGGGGTTTTCTGACGCTGAATATATCAGAACATTACCATTCAAAGTGCTGCAGAGAAATCTATAATTAAACCTGTTATATTTATTCTAATTGTATACAGCAGGAAATGTGGTTCTACACTTGTCAAACAGTGACTATATGAGGCGAGAGGCAATGTTAGATTTTTTGGCTTCTCACGTTGTCATTTGCAATGCGAGAGATGTTTTTTTGTGCTGATTTATGTGCCAAAAGCAATGGAAATAGTTTTTCCACAGTGGGTTTCACTGTAGTTAAAAGAAACATTGCAGTAAACTGCGGGTAGCCACAGCAACTCATTCGATGTTAAAATAGGAGATTTCAATGTTTTTTTAATGAATGTGGACAATGGTGAACCTGTTTGCAAACTAGTTTAAGGCTTTTGGCTCTTTGACATATTTTATTGAATAGGCCCAAATCTTCATGCTGAATGCTAAATTTAAGTGTAAAAGTTTTAAAAGGTTTCACAAATGAGATTTTATTTTTGAGACAAAGAACATTTCTTGTTCTATTAACAGCAGTAAATCATAACAATTTAGTGATAAATGTTTGATCAAACAAACAAAACCTCTTTTTTTCATGCAATAAAGCATGGTTGGGTTAAAAGAGATGTTGGTGATCAGAAGGTTAAAAACGAATCTGCAAGAGAGGCGCACAGCCATATTCTTCTTCTGGCCCCATGTAACACTGAATCACTTGATTCTGGTGTTCTAGAGCTCAGCTGATTAACTTTTAATAATGGTTCTTTAGAACTGAATTTGCTACCTGTAAACTATTAATTTTGCTCTTAAAGGATGCATACAGTATTTACACTGTGTGAAAGGCATCACAGAGAGTGGAAATGCTTAGGCTGAATAATTTATATGCCTTAAAACATAATTTGTGGTTCTGAGAGAAAAAGTACTTTTGAAATCAATCTACCTGCCAGGTAGCCTAATGTAGCTCAGTCATTATAATATAGTTTATCTGATTTCTAAATGTGTCGGATTAGGTTTAGAATAAAAAATGCCTTTTTAGTAGTAAGTGTTTTTTGGTGTTTTTGATGTTGATTGCAAAAGAAAACATATTTAGAGAGTGTGGTCAATTTTCAATAAATATACACTCTTTCTTCTTGTTCAATATCTATATTAATATATAAGTTTTTTAAATAGCTAAAAAAAAAGTGAGAAATTTACTGCTAAGTTGCCAACAATATTGCTAAGAAGCTAAAATAAATACATTTTAGTCAAAAAAGTATTTCTTCCCTGGATACGAATATATGAGAATGATTTCAATGTTTTTTTTTTGTTTGTTTTTTTTCAGTTGTGTCCTACTTTCACCCTGGAGTTAAATCAGTAACTGGAATGTGTGAATTCCTTATCAGTATTTCTTAGCCATATTTAGGTAAAAAATACTAGTTTCCAAAAGCTTAAATTTTGAAATTCAACAAACCCAAGGTGACAGTAGGGGTTCTTTTCAGTCACCTTGAAGTGAAATTAGTAACTATTATTCTCATATATTAATTTTAATAGAAGCACATAAGGAATATTTTTAAACCGGAGGAGCGTAAATATGAAATAATACAAACACTGTTTTATTTTGAAACGCCAGTGGGGGCTGGCTTTAGTTCATTTGAATGCGGAGTCTCAATTTCAGCAGGGCCGAGCTCAATTTGAAACTGAAGAGCAACCTGAGCGGAATAATCGGACATCATGAAGGATTTATTTCGTCTCCCTGATTGTCGTTATTATTAGACTTTCATAAAAATGAACCGATGCGCAAACATTAGTCTGTTTCTCGCTGTGGATTTTCTGCTGTTTCTAATGGGCTTATCAAAGGACACACCGACGCTTGGCTTCAAAGGTAGTCCGAGGCTACTCTTTCCTGGTGAGTCAAATTTAATTTTAAACAAATTCACTTTAAAAATGTAATTAGCACATTTAGGACATCTTTATAAATTTAGGTTTTAAAATTTTTTATTTAGAAAAAAAAAATAATAATACTGGCACCTTTCATTTCCCCCTCAGATATAATCAATGGTAGATATCAGCATGAAGTTAATCAGACCCACACTGTCTTCTTCTATAAAGACCAATATCTTTATGTTGGAGGGATGGATTTTGTTATTAAACTAAATACAAATGATTTCCATGTCATAAAGGTGAGTGTGACTAATCTTATTTTATTTATTTTTTTATTTCATTTTAAATAACCTGCTTTATAGGGTCAGTATTGACTCAAATTGGGGGTTTGGAAGATGACTGGACAATCCCAGGCTGCCTGCATAATCGTTGCTACGCAGTAGGTTTAATTAAAGAGAAGACCAACATTATGACTACTTTTATTGTCATTTTGTACACAAAAAGTGTATACAAAACTAAATTTACAATACAGATAGTACAGATTATCAGACAGTAAATTAACATTTCCATTCCATAAAGTGCAATATTTAATTGGTTGCAGCATTTTAAACCTGTATAATTTAATTAGGGGGTCATTCTTTTTGTCGCACCCTTCAGTCACTTCTTGCTCGATTCCCTTTCAGGCTTTTCCATAGTCGTTGCTGCACCAATTTTACTTAAGCTGCCTTAAAGCCCAGTAAACAGATTACAAAACAATCAAACTCTGGATTAAATTTCAAAGATTGCTTTCTAAAGTCAGATATATAGAGCAAAGGTACAACAATTATTCAGAACAAAATAAATATTAAGAATGCAAAATTTAAGGAAATGTTGCATATTGTTGCAGGAAATGTTGCATCTGTATGTCAAAGCTTGACAGTCATTGGTAAAAAAAATATATATTTTTAACCCAAAATTGAAATGGTTTTGCAGAAATACAATGTTGTTTTGAAAATGACCTGAAGCCTGTTATCAATCTTTTCTTGTCATCTGGTCTGTTTATGAGTTAAGAGCACATGGATAGATAAAGAGATATGTTTGCATTTTAAATTTGACTGTTTTCTTAAAAAAAAAAAAGTTATAAATTGTAGAGTTGCAGCATTTTTAAATCCTGATTACAGCAGTTTTATTAGGACTTTATGGTGCTGTTTGGTGTTAAACATATGAAATCAAATATGCAGGTCCTCAAAGATAAACATGCATACATGTTTTTCTAGCAAAGAAATATTCCTATACTAGGACTTAACTAAAAATATTCCACGATTAGTTGGTCCAGAACCTTTCAGACTCTTGGACTATTATATATTTAAACCCTCTCAGTTTGATTACTGCACCATTTCTTAAAGGAGGGGAACTGCAGATGGTCAGCCCAGCCCAGATGTCTGTTTTCCATCAACCACCTTCTAATAATCTCAGTTTGGGTGTTTGCATGACATGTTTTATTTGATAGGGTATAAATAAACCAACACTTAAAAATAATTGCATGATGTTCTTGGATCAGTTTTTTCTTTTTTTTAAGAATAATAACAAATAAAAAATATATATATGTTTTTTTTTTTTTTTTTTTTTTTTTTATTTCCTTGGCAGAAGTTTCCAATCCCAACGACTGGAAAGCATCATTGCTTTGACGTGAGTAATCTCCACAGAAATGTGTAGAAAACGTAAAGGTAAACATAAACAGTGTTGGATAACACTGGACTGTGTGCTGTAGGGTCCCTGTAAAAATGTAATCACCGTCATTGAGGAGTTCCAGGATCGCCTGCTTGTTTGTGGAACAAATGGACACAAACCGTGGTGCTGGGATCTTGTAAGTGCCTCCATATGCGAACGTCCACATGTTAACACCACATGTACTGTACTTTTAGATCTATTGCTTTAGCAGAAAGGTAGAGGCAAAGCTGATTACAGAAGAAGAGCTGATCTTTGGCTGTTTAAACTTTCAGCATCCCTGCTGTATAATTAAATAGGATGCTGGGTGTCTGATTTCCAATTAGTTGTCTTTTGTGGTTTCTATGACGCCCCCTTTTCCCCTGTTAGCAGTTTACTTCTGAGAATCTGACCTATGAGGTGTTGCCAAGCGACAACGGCATAGGCATCTCCCCTTTGGACTACACACAAAACAGTTTATCGCTCACAGTGGGTATGTTATGGTTTTATGGTATATTTTGAACAAAATTAGAGCTAAATAAAAATCTTATATACATTTAGTCATGTTTTTAAAAAGTTGGTGTTAGGTTGAGACTCATCAAATAATTCAGCATATCTTCCATCCCATATGGCCTGCCGTTTTAGATGGGGATTTATACGCAGCAGCACCTTTGGACATTGAAGGAAATTCTTTGCACTTCAGGAGAAAACGTGGCAAGCGCCCTCATCTCTGGATGTATGATCGCTGGTTATCAGGTGAGGAAAATTGTTAAATTTTAAAATTTTAAATCTTGTTTGCCAGAAAATCTAATAATATAGAGCCTTTAAAAATTAAGGGTTATGCTTTTTTTTTTTAGATATGTTTTCATTATGCACTAATAGACCGAACAGAGTTTTATGCTCTGACTTCTCTGCTGTGTTCATTGGACCTCATGGTGCCGCTTTTGATCATGATACTGTTAATTTTTGTTTATCTACATTAATCGTAATGTTGAATGAGTGCTGCATTTAAACATTTATTATAGAAAAAAAAGGAGAATATTTTGAGTCGAGTCAGAAGTTAAACAGCAATTATGACTAAGGGCACTTTGAAGTTAAATGATTAGATTAAAGAAAGAGTCAGTGTCCTACACATGATTTTTTGTTTACTGTTATTCAAGAGCAGGTACAGAAAATGCACCATGAGGCATTCGATATGATAAATACTGAGTAAAGGAGATAAGACCAGATTGACTTTTACAGATAAACATAATTAATCCTGGTGCAGATTTATTTTTAAGCTAAGTCAGACTAAATGTGTAGGAATGCTAAAATAAGGATTTGTTGAAGGTACTTTGGTTAAACCCAGTCAATGTTTACCATGTGCTTCTCATGTGTTGTTTATGGCTATCTTGTAACACTGAAAAAAATAATGAAAACAGTGTACATGTAATTTAAACACAGTTTCTTCCTGCAGAGCCCACATTCATCTCTGCATCCTGGGTGAAGCGTAGGGACGATCCGGAGAATGAGAAAATATACATTTTCTTTCGAGAGAAAAACTCCAACCACAACCCAGATGCTGAACCCTGGATTTCTAGGGTGGCCAGAGTGTGTAAGGTACAGTGCACACAGCTGTAGTTTACAGAAACAGCTGTTACCCTGGGACATCATAGCTTATGTTGCTTTTAATACTGACATTAGCAGCTGCTGTCTGTTATTGCAAGATGAAGTCTATCAGATAATGTGTCATAAATAATGTGATGACTACAGATTTGATTGACATTCTTTTCAAACTTTTGATCAGCTATGTTTACATGAGTTGTAATCATATGCACATACTTTAGCATGAAATGTGTCTTTACATTTATATATTTTTGGACTACTGCATCAATGTATAAACATGATTTTAAAAAAAGCACTGCATCAGGTTTCTGTTGAAATGGGAAGTTTTAAAAATCTTTTGATGCTTCCTGGTGCTAAAAATGAGCAAGTAATAGAGCTCTGCAACCTGCAAGCCTTTTTGTTCATGTAGGAATGTTTCTAATGGCTTAATAGATAGTGAAAGTCAACCTTCTATCTGCTAGTGAAGGTCAATTTGCATTTCAGTGATAGAAAAGTTTCTTTCGGTTAGATTATTTACATTTTTGTGTGGGAAATAAATAAACTGAAGACAAAGGAACAAACTTTGATAAAAGATACTGTAGCTATTGAACTTACGAGATAAAAAGCCAAAGATTCCCGTTATACGCAAGTATTCCTCACATTTTGTTAAGCAACAAGGACAAAGCGTTATTGGCTTTAGTGTTATTTTATATGATAACACAAACACAAAGTATGCAAATTTATGAGACAGTGTTAGATATGGTTGATAGAAAGTGTATCATAATGTGCTTGATGGCCTCAGAGGGTTGATAGGGAACATCCTTGGAAAAACATGTCATAAAGAGGACCACAAGGACCACAGCAGATAGCTCAGAGAGAAAGTTTGGAAAACTGTTAAGAAGTTTAAAGCGGGGTTAGGTTATGATAGATGATCTTTCTGCACTTTAGAGCAGAAAGATAGAGAGCTATTTAATCCATCCTCCCAAAATGGAAATGTTATGACAATACCACAAACCAATCAGAACATAACCATTCATCAAACTGACAGGGAAGCAAAAGGGAAATTTAATCAGAGAAGCAAACTTGTTAAAACAATCGCACTGGTCAGAGGAGCCCAAAGGGAACTTCTAGGTTTACTTTGTCAGGAAGAAATATAACCCTACAAATGATCCCAAATACCCTACACTCTTGGTGAAACATGGATGGTGGCAGCATCCTGCTGTCAGGATTTCACAAGCAGTGAAACCGGTCAGAGTTGTCGTGGAGACGGGCAGAGCTAAAAACTGGAAATGTCTGGGGGGCTGCAGAGGACTTAGGACTGAAGTACAAATTTACCTTTCAGCAGTAACACTACCCTTAATATATACCCATACTTAAAAACATGCTACTGTGTTGGGATGGCAGAGTCAAAGTCTAAACCTAGAGTCAACTTAGAGTATGAGCAAAGCTTGAAAATAACTGTTCATGAAGGCTTTCTATCCATTCTGACTGAGCTACTTTTAGCTACGTTAGCTACGTGACTAAGCTAAAACTTGAAAGAGGAGCAGTGTACATATAAATATACAAAGCAGGTGGAAACACAGAGACACAACCCAAAACTTCCAGCTTTAAGAACAGTGGCAGGTCATTCTACAAAGTACTGATTCAGTTGACTGGACTTTTAAGTGAAAGTAATAATTCTGTTTTAATTTTTTTGAAAAAGAAAGAAAAAAGAAAATTCTTTCCTCTGCTTCAGTTATGTTTTTTTGCAAAATTGTGTAAGTCTATGGAAGAAGAAGAAAAAAACACAACAAACTGAAGAAGTCAAGGGGTCTAAACCCTTTGCACATGCATTTTCAATTACATTTTCATTGTAACTATCAAATTGCAGTGCAGGTTAAACACTTTTTTCTCCCTCATGAGTTTTCCATACTTTTGGTTGAGTAAGTAGAAAATGTAAACCTGCATGGCTATGGGAAGCACAAAAGGTCAGCATCTCTGTTTGCTGTTAATACCCGCTTCTGTTTCACTAGGGAACTATGAAAAAAATGCTTCCGTTAACAGAGTAATCAGCACACTGTATGCCACAGTGTTAACTTACGCTGATATCTGCTAGATTACGTTATAAGCCCAAAGTAGGAAGAAGAAGGTAGTAATGCTGCTGTTTGAATAAGAAATGACGGGAAATAGAACATTGTTACCAAGGTTTTCTCAGAAATGCACCAGGAACATTAGTACATAGAAAGTGTTTCTTACTTAAGCACGTGCTGCAGTGTTTGTTCTTTTCTCTTCCCATAAATTAGACCACAACCTTCTAAATGAGTTCACCTGATGTAACTTTTTTGAAACGGGACAGTATTGAAAACACCCCTAGTAAAGAAAGGGGAAGAGTTCAGGTGTTTTATTTGAATATTTATTATCATGGACAACACCTATCACCCCCTGCATCACACTGTAGAGGAGCTGAGTAGCTCCTTTAGTGAAAGACTTACCGTATACACCCTGTTAGTAAAAAGGAGTGCTACTGCAGGTCATTCATAGCTGCTGCCATCAGACTTTACAATGCAGCATTATAACTGCAATAATTAATGTGCAATAACCTGTTTATATTTAATACCCTGTGCAATTACTATATATATATATATATATATATATATATATATAAATGCCTCTTTATTTGAATACCGATTTAATACCCTGTGCAATAACCCTGTTAAATAAGAGACTTCAGCTGTATATACTGTATATACAACATGCACCTTTTGTGCCTTTTGGCACCATCTTTTTGACTATTGAGCCAATGTGAGAAGTGAATTTCTCCACTGTGAGATCAATGAAGTTAATCTTATCTTATCTTATTTAATATCCAAAGTGTACTTGGTGTCAGAAGTATAAAAATTCTTAATCAACAAATAAAAACAATGTGGAGTTTCTTTCTCATACAGCCTTTGGATATGATTTTGCAGAATGATGAAGGTGGATCAAAAAGATTTTTACAGAACATGTGGACATCGTTCCTCAAGGCCCGCCTCGTCTGTGGGTTTCCAGAAGAGTCGCTATATTTCAATCGTCTCCAGGACATCTATGTGATGCATGCCGATGACTGGCAAAATACCAGAGTCTACGGCATTTTCACAAGCAGCTGGTGTGAACCTTTTCCTTCTTTTTTGTATAGTAGCCGAGGGATGCAAATTCACAGCAAACACAAAAATTCACATGCACAGAAAAAAAGCTGCAAAAGACAAATGCTGAAATAACAGAATATTGAGGGCTCAATTTGCAATGGGCTCTTTAACTCATATGGGACCAGAAAATAGCCATAGCTATGAAATGATGTCTATGGATCAGTCTCTTAGTAAAAACATAAATAGATAAATACATTTGCATGTGTTTGCAATTCATCTGTTTGTGATGCATTTGCATTTTGCTGCTCTCTATTTTCTGTGTTTACAGCATTTCTCTTTTGTCTTGTTTTTCTTTTTGTATGATAATCTTATTTTTTATGTTTTCTAGTCCCATTTTTGTATCAGCAGTCTTTTAATCCACTGCATGTTTATGTATTTTTGCAGTGAATTTGCACCTTTCACTGTATTTGTGCATCAGAAACTAAGTAGCAGCATCTATCCGTGGGTGTGTTTGTTTTTATTTATTGCCTATGTCTATGAGAGTAATAAAATACTGCTCCAATGCCAGTGAAGCAACCCTCATCACAGCAGTGCATGAAGCAATAACCAAATTAAAGCTGAAACTTTGATGGCATCATCCTTTTCTATTTCTGTTTCAGGAACTCAACAGCGGTTTGCATCTATTCAATTGAAGCAATAGAGAAGTTATTTGAAAGCTCATTGTTTAGGGGCTTTAATAAAGAAATCCCTACACCAAGGCCTGGAACAGTAAGAACAGCTTTATATTTTTTTTTGAGTGCAGCTTTGGATGGGAGTAGTCTAAATATACGAACCAGTCATGTTGCATAAATGGGTGTTAACATGGAAGATATGACTCTGGTTTACTTCATTTGTAACATTCATCCTTTCCATCCTTTTGTTGTGGTTGTTTTTCATGAGCTAAAAAGTCACAAAATAGGGTGTAAATGTGGAAAGGTTTCATGTTGCCTGGTTGTGTAAAGAAACAAGCCATTGCTTCCCACCCAGTTAGGATATTTCTAAGCAGAACCTTTAGTTTCCTCTACGTTTATATACAATTTTATGCACCTCCATGGCAGTTTATAGTAAATCTCTGTGTCTGTCTTTCCTTTCTACATTTTCAATAGCTTATAAAAACCCAATAAGACTGAAGTGGGTATTAATGTGACAAAATATTAAAAAGTTCTGAACATTTGCACAGCACTGATACTTACAATACCTCTTCCTGGGTTACAGGAACCCCAGGAATAATTTGGTGTTATTTGCTTTAAAACCCCAAAGTGAAATTGGGAGAATGCCTGCAGACAGTAGTTTGTTTTTTATTTTGTTTACTGGGATTTCCTTCCCCCTCTACCTCTTATTCATGCTGAGACAATTCAAACATTGTCCGGTTTAGTCTGCACAAAGCGTCACCCACAGTGAAGACAGACAATCTCCTGGAGAATTCTTTAGAAAACAGAAGACTTTATGTAGGCGTTCATATCATGCGACTCTTTTTGTCTCAGGCACAATTCTTCAGAGTGGTAACTTAAATGTTTGGGGGATTGTTGCATAAATATGAAAAGTTATTCTTTAACTCAGAATAAGATGCTGAAGAGTCATATATATATATATAGATATATATATATCCATCTATATATATATATATAGATAGATATATATATATATTTATTTATTTATTTATTTATCCTATTCTGTGCTGCAAAAGCAAAAACCAAAAACATTTCCATAGCACAATTTTTCTTCTTATCGTAATATTAGATAATGCATTTAACATGATATTCGTTTTGTTAAATGTTTGTTTCCTTGTGTTTTCTAGTGCGTGCCAAACAGTAAAGTTATTTCATTTGACACACTGAATGTAGTGAGGGACCATCCTGAAATGGTAAACTGGGTGCACCCCCTCCATTACAAAGCTCCTTTCTATGTGAGCAACTACAATTACACCAAGATAGCTGTTGACCAGGTTAAAGCAGCAGATGGGCAACTGTACAACGTTTTGCTCCTTGCTACTGGTAGGTGACGTTGCTTTGTGTCTTTTTGTCTTCACTTGACCGTGAATCATGCATTGTTATTGATCTCTATTGGGGATAAAAAAAAACAAAAAAAACTCATAAACAATTCATCCAAAAATAACAGTAAACATTGTTCTAATAGATACTGGCAAGATCCATAAAGTCCTAGAGGCTGGTTCGGAGCCTTTCATCATATCGGAAACACAGCTCTCCAACAGTTCAACCATACAGGCAATGAAGCTTGACTCCAAAAAGGTAAAGTTCAGTCAAAAAGTTTTATTTTTGGACATATTAAACATCAACTGACAAAAAGATGAATTCTTTTCATTGAATGGTTCAATATAATATGTTTAATGATTTTTAAGATGTTTAGCGGAAAATGGCAAAATGATGTCACTCCATTGTAAAGGAAATCTCTGTGTTTGCACCTTGAAGCTTTCTCTCCTTGTTTTTTTTTTTTTTTCCTGAGAAGAGATCACTCGTGAAAAACTCTTTACTTGACACTACATAATTTATATTTATTAAATAACCATGAGACAATACAACAGATTTGGACATAAATTGTAATCTTACTCAGACCAGAGAAGTTGCTTAGGGTTACAGATGGCAGCGCTTACCAACCGGGCTTGCTTATCTTTGAAGTTGGCTCCAAAAACATTTAAAGAAGCATTTTATACAGCTCCAGTATGCCACAGCCGTCACATCAATACATTACACACGTTAGCAGATGAGGAGACGTACATGGCTCCAGCCTTATCAAAATATCACTCTTTGTTTTTAGACACAGCTCTCATTCCATTCCCAAATCTTTGCCACGTGCATAATGAGGAAGACTTTTTTTTTTCCTGACAGAGGGACTCTCCTAATTAGATAAACTACGGTACTCAGGAAAACATAATTTCTAACACGCAACAGGCAGTTATTATTGGGGCTTAACAGACTTACATCATCAGTAAAAATAATCTTAACACCATAGAGACACTTCTGCCTTAAAGGTTTCAGAGCAACAGACCATGGTCCTTAACTTCATCTTTGTTGATTGTTCCCAGTCCGTTCATTTGTGTTATCAGGCACTCACTCCTGCTGGAAGCTGTTTATAGATAGAGAAACCTTGGGGACCCTTTGTTTTTTGTGTTTGCATTTAGACACAGAGAACAAAGACGATGACCAAAAATAGTTTGTTTCTTGTCTTTTGTTTATTCATCAAGGCAGAATTCTTCAGACATTATTATGAGACTGATAAAGCAGGAACTAAAGGAATATAAGATAATGACAATTTCAAGGTTTTTGTTAATTTTGAAGCTATAGCTAAGGTCATAATAGAACAGAGCAGGAGCAGTCTGCTTGGCAAGCAAGTGAATTAACCTCTTTTACCTTATTGTCACATTAAAATAGCCTGGGTATCATATGAATAAATGACAAGGACTGTGTTTGTTTTTAACCGGCACACATTAAGAGGATATTTTTTGACGTATTTTCTCAGAAAAAGTTAGTGGTGGGTTTTCCTGAGAAAATCTCCACAGTGGACCTTCAGAACTGCGAAAACTACAACAGCTCTTGTGCTGAGTGTGTCCTGGCAAGGGACCCATACTGTTCATGGACCACATCTGGATGTACCCCCAATAACATGTAAGTAAAATCTGCTTTCATTATGAAACAATATCTAGAAAAATGTGACTCTCTATGTTAGAATGTCTTCTTTTCTTGAACAACATAATTAAGAGCCCACTCTGCTTTGATTGGACATGTCAACAGAAGATGTTTGTATTGGTGGGGTCTTGTTTCCCACGGACATCATCAAAGTTATCAAAATACTTATCAGAGTAGACAGTAGTTTTAGTAAACACCTCAAAAAGTTAAAAGCTATCTGTAATCCAAAATCTAGTTCCGTATGAACTAAACATCTTGTCGCTTCCTGTAAACAACCTCCACATTTACTGCCATCTGTAGTAAAAGAAAGTGTTTTTTAACTATATAACTATCTCACAAGAAAGTTTGTGAAAATCATACTTTTAAGTTGGTAAGTATGTAAACAGACTGCATTTATAAAACTGCAAGAATTCCTTATTATATCTTTAGATACATTTAAGACAATGTTGAGGAGAACATTGGTTAATTGGATAAAATTATATCTCCAACACACCTCATACTTTTGTGACAACATGAGGAATTTGCACCAATGCATCAAGAGGAGAGTTATTTACCTTCACAAGTTGATTTTATCCTAACATTTCCAGATTGCTGAAGGTCCCTTGTTCATCAGTTTGAATGGTATTGTGCAGGTTTAAACACAATTGGGATATCTGGTCATGATTAGAGAGTCAGTATCTGCAAAGCAACAGGTACACATGAAGGGGTAGACTATTTTTCCAGATGGGGTTTTCAATATCTTGACTAAAATTGGCAAATTGATCCAATACCAAACATTGATATGCTTTTTTTTTTAAGTGCTACATGTTAAACTCTATGTGGGGGTCTGCTGCTGCCTTGGTAGTTACATCGTTATGGGATTTATTTCCCGCAAACTAAATAATGTAAAACTTTTTTTTTTTTTTTTTTCCACAGCGAGGGCATTCAGAATATAAAGGATGGACATACAACTGTGTGCCAAACGGCAGTAGTGAATGGTAAGTTATAAAATTCTGGAAACTATACCAGACTAGCTTCATCGCATCTTTATTAATCCATCTTTTTTATTCTTTTTTTTTTTAGAAGTAAAGGTATTGGTCAGGCGCAAAAGGCAGACAGATTCACTTAATCACGCAATCCCCAAAGGCGTCCCCTTCTATCTGTCCTGTCCTATAGAGTCCTATCATGCTAAGTACACCTGGGAGCATCAAGGTCGAAACTTTTCTTGCCTGCAGATGCTTTCTAACTGTTTGCACCTTATTCCTTCAATGGAAATTGAAAACTATGGTGAATATAAGTGTATCTCCATAGAGAAGGACTACAAAAAGACTTTGAAACAATACCAGCTTACGGAGCAGGGGATTCCAGATGAAAAGAAAAGCTGTTGTGATCCTAAACTAAATAATGCAATAGGCCTTTCTCCGCAGCTGACGTGGATATTATTACAGATTGTGGTGTTGTGGGCAATTTTGAGTTAAATCCTGTCAACAACAGTTTTGAACATGCAAATAAAGTCCTGAAAAAAAAAATAAAACTCCCAGACTGCGCTTCAACAAGCCCCACATCAGCACATGCATGGTTTGTGAAGCAATGCAGCTGTGAGGTTATATAAGATCTGTAGCCACTGAAAAACTAACAGGAATAAGCAGAATATAACTAGGGGCAGTTAGTTTAAGCTTGTTCTCTAGTGTGCAGAAATGTTATGGCTTTAGATAAATAACTTAACACTGAATTAAGCAAAGCTTTAACCTGAATTGAGCAAAGCTTTAGCCTTTTACCACTCTGCACTTTATATGACTCTGATGTGGTATGTCTGTAAGGCTGCTCCACCTTAAGAGCTTTGACTTAACAAAGCACAATGGGTTAGGCTTTCTGAAAAAAAAAAAAAAAACAAGGTTTGGTTGTTTCTGTTATCCAAAAAAAACAAAACAATCTTAGTCATATTTATGAAGAAATGAGAGATCGGTGGTCTTCAGTCAAGTCGCATTTATGAACCCTTGCAAGGGGGAACAGATGCAGTGTTTTCCTATTTGTACTGGCAAGACCAAGAATCTGTCTCGCTAATTAGGAACCAAAAGAAGAACAGGGAGGGTTTCACACACAGCAAAATCAAAACAAAGTTAGCATATTTCCGCAAAGAGAAGGGCAGTTGAAATAACCTTGAATTAAAGGAGTCAAAACATCTAACACTGGTAAGCAGCTTCCCAGGCGACAGTCAGTAGATAAGGCTTCCATCTAGCCTTGTCCAGCAGGTGTTCTGATTGGCTGAATACCTTGGTGCGATAAATGAAGTAAAACATGCTCATATGTAAATTATTAACTGGAATGTATCTGTATTAGAGTGTAAAATGATCTTTCCCATCACAGTTCTTCCTCTTGACCTTAAAAATAATTGTTACTGCTGTTGTTAACAACAGACAACTGTAAAAATGTAGATCATGTTTGGAAGTTAATGTATTTTGCTAACAGTCATCCCAGTAGAAGGCTAAATAAAATGAAGACCTGTGTCAAACGAGTGGAAAAGCTCTTAAATTATTTTACAAGCAATGAAGGATAATACTATTAAGCCAAATAATTACAGCACCCTAATTCAGATGTTAGCTTACCATGTGTGGGAAAAAAATACAGACATTTATATACCGCAGCATTTCTGTATAACATATCGTATCTCGTACATGGAATCCCATCATGTGGTGTTTCTGAGAATCTGTACGATTACTTGGTTCAATCCTGCTGCAGCAACAAAACCAGTGACATTAGAATGGGAACATCAGTAGTCTTGGTATTATTATTATTATTATTGGGACAGTTCACCTCTGCCTTCATGGTTGATGTGGAGATACATCAGGCTTCATGTGGAGCAATGTGATGAAGGAATATTATATCTAGAAGGCAGGCAAACTCTCTGTACCGGTCCATCTGTACCCTGACCGCAATGGATAATGATTAAGAGAACAACATTTGAATAAAATGTCTGCAAACCTCCCTTAAAAGGCAAGTTGAGCTCAGTCTCACAGACAGGGCAGGGAGCTCCAACGTCTGCAGGGAGTTCAGGTCAGACCAGAGGAAACTGGTCAGGGTCATGAGATAAAGTATGTAATCTCAGTCTTGAGGTTCCTCCAGAATGAGCTGAAGGGCGTTGCCTTGGAAATGTCTGGGTATCCCACCCAATGAGACCATGAACACTACCTCTGTGGCATGACTTTAGAAAATGAAGTATTGGATGGTTGCGTTAAGTTAACCATTAATTTGAACATGTATTTGTTTTTCTTCGAAAAACTTAAATGCAGATTAGATGTTCAGGAGGTTTGTTAGTATCCAAAGCAGCTATCAGTTAGTGCAAAGTACAGCTAACAGTTTAAAGGGGACTATTTAGTTACTATGACCTTACAAATTTCTTAAGACAGTAGCTCCCTCTGGTTTCATAAAAAGGCTTTGTATGATTTTTATCATAATTAGACTACGTGAGCAGAGGTAGGATATTGTTAATGCCTGAAGCATTTCCAATTTGTTAATGCAGGATGCCAGCTAATGCAAGCTGATAAGGAAGCACTTTCCAGGCTCAAAAAAATTAAACATTATCAGGTCAAACACTTTACATATTTGTTGTCTTTTTTTCTCTAGCCATACTATGAGTAAGGTCATATAAAATAAGGCATTGAAATGCAGCCTTGTGTCAGTATAGTGAAGGATTGCGTTATTAGCATTTGGCAAGGGGACAGAAGTTGAAGGTGAGAGAAAAGGATGAAGTGGGTTGGTGCAGAGGAAGGATCCTTGTATCCTGTACCATTTGACAGGGAAAAGGTTTATTGATGTTGGGAAATGAGATATGCAAAGGATTGGCATGGTAGATAAGGACACTGAAGACACAGCAGTGTTGTCCTAACAGAACCTGCTGGAATGTTTGACCTGTTTTTCAAGGTGAGACCAGGATAGAAGAAATGAAAACACAGCTAAATAAATACTGTACCAGGTCCCTCCCGGCTGGGAAGGTTATTTTCTGCCTTCTGGACTATTCCAGAGCCAAGTTCAATAGAACTGAACCCCACAGCTAAACATTTTTTTGTATGGGTGGGAATTTAATGATGGAGGGAGAAAACAGTAAACCCAGTGATATATCTGCTGAAGTCAGTAAAATAGAAGGATATTTTAAGAAGAATGTATTTTAAATAAACCTTTCATTGTGAGTGTCGGCTGCAGATCTAGCTCACAGTTTTTCTTTACTTACAGACTTTATGTTTGCAAATCCACCCGTTAAAGCCAGTAGAACATAAAGTAGTTCTCTCCTCTTTCTCTTTACTTCAAATATATAAGAATATGTTTGTTTTAGATGGTTTAATAAGAGCAAAACTCACTAGGGAACTGATGATGGGATTGATTCAACTTGCTTTCATTGAAAAGTCTGAAAAAACAAAAACAACTAAAAGCATAGCTTCCAAAAAAAAAAAAAAACTACCACAGCTGTAGGTTAGGCAGCAGAGCTTTAGTTTGCACTTTGAAACTCTTTTACTTAAGCTTTCTGTAGGATCGTAATTTTCCGTTTTACCTTCTTTCGTTCTTGCGTTTCGAAATGATGAACAGGAGACTTGTTTTAACGCCGTTCTACTTTATTTTTTACATATGTGTTTCCATGACATGAACTTCTTGCCCACACTACGGAAGCCTAGACAAAATATATATGGCAAAATATGTCTAACTCAAAATTTACCAATAAACAAACAAATAAGAACGGAAATATATCTTAAACTTAGAATAATAAATTCAACTTATATTTTCTATAAATGAGGCTTACACTTTCTACAAAAGGCTTTTTACAACGTACAATAATGTACATATAATGCACTACATTAGTGTCTTGTTTTTTATATATATATATATATATATATATATATAAATAAATGAATGTTATTTCTGCTTAAATAAAAAAGCAATTACCTTGAGATTACTGGAAGGATTGTATATTATAAATTGATATGTGGATCACCATCCCTCAGGGTGTATGAGTTAAAGGAAGGGTTACCATTCCTCGGTCTCTTTGGTTTCAACTCCTCTAGCAATATATAAGCTGGGAGAGTTGTGCAGAAGATGGTGAGGGAGCCAGAATTGTTGTATTAGTATCTCTTCCTCCTGTTCAGGATTTGTCAAAGAGCTACAGTAACCACAGGCCCCTTAACATTTCTTTGACATCTCACCCATTCCCATGATTTGTTTTATAACTGCTGCTATCAGGCGACAGTTTAGCATTGAAAGCAAAATTTCCAGACTGCTGCAAGGCAAAGCAAATTTATTTGTATAGCACAATTCAGTACAAAGCCAATGCAAAGTGCTTTACATGAATAAAATATAGGGAAAAAAACAGAATCAAAGAAAGTAGGGAAAAAAAATTAGAAAAAAAAACTAAGTTATCAAAATGCTGATCCTCCATTATGATTCGGTTCTTCATATATTTGCACTTAATTGTGTATTTAATCTGTTTTGTTTGTATGTAGCTGTGTGTTTTATCATGTATTGAATTATTTTTATACTTATATAGATCTTTGATAATTATTGTTTCTTATTGTGGATCATGTTATTTATCACCCAGCTAAAGACAGAATACCAACTGGAATAATGTTTTTTTTTTTCTAAAACAAATGACTGGTTCAAACTTCTCTTTCTTTTACATATGGTTTTGAACTTATGGATTTTTGTCTGTGAAATTGTGGGGGAGACAGACTTCTCTCTCTGCTTCATTGAAGTTCATCTACTAGAGCGCGTTAGCATTCAGCTGCAGTAGTGAAAGTTTCTGTCCTCACCTGTTCATAAAAGCATTGCACTATTATTGTTGTATTGTCTCTTCTTGTCAATGAAATCATTCTGCTCATCTGGTAAGAATAATGACTTAAAAAGGTTAAATCATCTATAGTATCCAAGTGTGTGGATAATGTATTTTTTGCTACAATATATCCAGAAAACTGGTTCCATTCAGTGCAAAGTCCATGTTCTTCATAACTGGGTATCCATGGGGATTGAAGGCCGATTTTGATCAATGAATCGGTTAGACTTTTGTTTGGGTTTGTAATGCATAAGGGTGCATTAACCATTTGAAAATGTGATATTTGTAACAGAATATTGTAAAACTATGGATCATGACCTTGTTTTTTCCAGTTGGTGGCCTGCATTCAATATATTCCTATGAATGGCATCTCCTATATCTCTAACAGCAGAATATTATTAACATCTTTTCTTCTGAGCCAAGTTGGGGATCTGCAAGGACCTAGCCATTAACACTTACAACAAAAATCCGTGCTTCCATATTTAATAAAAAAATAACACAACAGATAAGAGTTGTGTTTTTTTTTTTTTTTTTGTTTTTTTTTTTGAAATTGTTGTTTTTAATTGATGAGAGGCATAACACTTTGCCCCCCAGTGACCACTGTTAATCCACTGTTAACTGCAGTGGTGTCAAAAGTACACACACGTGTTAGTTAAGTAGAAGTATAGGTAGTGAATGTAATGGGGAGGTCTTTGTTA